TTTTGGCGCTCACTGCAGATGTTGTTTGGAGGGTGTTGTTCAGAATCGACATATGGCGAGTTTTACTTTTTCTCTCGACATCGAGAGATGATGTAGTATGATGATGTGAAAGATTGGATCGAATCGTAGACTTGTTGAAACTTGGGAAATGGGTGTCGGGCACACACGGCCGGCCGGCTCTAGTTGTTGTTGCCGTAGACAGTTCTTTTGTCGGAACACTTCCGTTTTTCTCATTGGGCAAAGAAGAGGGTATCTTTTCGCGCCTGGTCTCCAGAAAGGGCTTGCTCGTGCAATGGATGAAGATCCAGATGAAAAAGAATAAAGAGCAGGAGGATTGAAGGCGGATAAGCATGAGATCAAACTGGGCACTTCACAACGCGCACAGTGAGGTTGCGACCCTGCTGCTGCGTGCGAAGAGAAGCGCCTCTGTCGTTGGAGACTGGTTGCAGCAGATGTGACAATAAGTTGAGTTGATTGAACGATACTTCGTGGTGAGGTAGGTGAGGAAATGAAAGGTGAGCGACCATCCCATGTCCTATGGCTGGCATGCCATCCGCAGCAGAGAGTCTGCAAGACATGACATGGCAGCACCGTTGAACATGAAATGGAAAGTGGAACACCATCCCACGTCCCATGGCGGGCATATCAAATGTGAAATGACAGTTCCATAGGGCATGAAATAGTAGACGCCTCGTGATGTCGAGATCGCACACGTGAGACTGAAGACGAAATTCGTGAAAATTCACGTTTGTCTCCTCAGGAGTTCTTCTACACCATGATCAGAGTCCACTCGAAATCATTCGCGATACTTGATGCGAGATATGGCGGTAGCCTATTTGCCCATGAAGTTTGCAGTCTGAGCGGTGAGGTGGAGTACAATGTACAACGAACTTCAGCTTACAGATTGGTAAAGCAGCCATACTGTGTCATTTTGGCAAAGACTACATTCTTTTCCGCAAGCTTTTGTTCCATGTACCGACGTCTTGCAGAAAGCTCACTCCAACAAGCTTCGCTCTTTTCGTGTTTCAAGATCTCCCTTCTCAGAGATGATTCTCACGAGTGATACTCGGTCTGTCAGCAGCAAGCTCCTTTCATGTCATAATCTCCTCGACCAAGCTCCACTGCTGCACCACTCCCCATCAACACCAGGAGCACTATCGCCAGCGGGTCCGCCAGAAGCTGGAAGATCGCTGGGATCTGCTTCCTGCAGGCCCGCGGCGGTCCATGCAGCCTCATCCTGCGGAACCGCGGCCATCCATGCAGCCTCATCTAACAGATCTCCATCAACACCGAGACCACTATCGCCAGCCAGTCCGCCAGAAGCTGCAAGATCGCCGGGAAATGAGAAGTCGTCAAAATCAAACTCAAAGTCGTAGCCTTGACCAAAGTTGAATGTCGCACTGGAATCGGAAGAAGCGACAAAGACGTTGGCGGCTCCGACTTTGGTAGCAGAAACGGAGTCCAAATTCAGGCTGATGTTGGGTTGAGATCGAGATGATGGGCCGAAGTGCTGCTTCTTTGGCAGTGTGGCGCTCGGCGTCGTTTGTGCGCTGGACAGGTCCATCATGGCAGAATGATGTGTTTGAGGGGGAGAAATGAGCTGCCTCCTCGCCTTCTTGCACCGACAGCTTTGAGGAGTGATGGGCAATTGGTCGTCTTCTGCTTCGGCCTCTTCTATCAGCTCTGACGGAGACTGTCGCGGCGGGCGTGTCAACAGGTCTGCCGCAGGCTGTCGCAGCGAGCGTGCCAACAGAAAGGCTTTGGCTCTCATGGAATCTGCCAGGTGTTCAGCCTTGTGAACTCTGCAGGACACGGCTTCGGCATATGCCAGAATTTTGTCGACTAAGACGAAGCCATCCACGTGTGTGATAGCATCCTGAATGGCACGAGTGTGAAGGAGATGCTGGGCGTTGGAAAGGACGGTCGAAGGGTGAAGAACCCGGCACGTGCCGTGAATCGGGAGCTGGCCAGAAGGTCGCTTCTTCTGCTGATTTGGAAAGAAGCAGATTTCCCGTTCGCTCATGCCGAATTTGGCCCAGAAGACTTCGTGCTGGACGCTGGAGGTAGGAGAGACCATTTCGGCGAAAGCGAGTGGACAATGGGTGGAGAAACGCAGATAATGCGAGGAAAGAGCCCGAGCAGAGGTCAGAAAGCCGGAGATGGGAGCGATGTCAGGAGAAGGGGCGGGAAAAGATTGGTGACGGCACGCCACACAACAACATGTCCATGAGCTTTGACGTGATGGAGAACGGTGATCGTGGGATGAGAAAGGCCATCCGAGACATGCAGCGTCACCGCCATTTCATTGGAAGAAAAAATTGACAGCGGCGACGACGATGGCGACGACGATGGCGACGACGAGGGCGCCGACGACGGCATGGACAGGACAGTCGACCGTGCGCAGGGCAGCGAGCGTGCTTCTTAGAGTATTGGAGGCTTCATCATGTTGCGTCCGTGGTGGAAAGAGGTCTACTGCGTGGCGCGGGATTGCAGTTCTTGTGAGCGTTTGCATCGTCGGTCGGATGGCTGCTGAGGGAGCACTCGGTCGCATGAGGCCGTCATTTCCTGCCTGGTGCCGTGGTCATAAAGAGGCCGGTCTGAGCTTGGCGCGTGGTGGCGAGTGGTGGGCGAGTGAGATTGGGACTGGGACTGCCATGTCGGACGGTGTGAAAGTGCTGCTTTCGTCTGCTGATGTTGATGAGAGATGGGCAGCGGCAGCTTCGGAGGACGGAGAACGGCGCGAACGATGGCGTTCGGCGGGCCGGCCCGTTCAGCCCTATGGGGTACTGTACGCCAGCGAGCACAGTTAACGCGCGGCACGACAAACGATCATGCGACTTCCTATGACTTTACCATCGCCGACGCGTTCGCAACGCAACACCGCACCGCCGCCCACATGACCCTGCCCGGTGCCTTTCCGCCCGCCGGGCATGCCGATATGACCACCACAGATGCTTTGCCCGGCTCAATGTCAACCGCCACGGCCAACACCGCCTGGACGCAGAACCCCTTCCTCCTCAGCCGTCATCTGGTCTGGCGCTTGCGGCAGCGCGGCCTGCGCGTCGACAGGCCACACATGCAGGCGGTCATCAGCGCGTTCACGCGCTACGACGAACGCGTGTGGCTTCTGTTGCAGTGGGCGCGCCAGATCGACCGCCATGTCGGCCCGCATGAGCGAAAGCGAGCGATCCAACAGGCTCGCGCGCGCCCCGCGCCGCCTAACTGGAATTGGATGAGCGAGGAGTATGATCGACAGAGAGCGCTTGTGCCTGGCCTCGTGCTCAACGACGAAGCGCCCGCCAGCTCGACGGACAGTGGTATCTCTTCACCGGGGAAGGGGGACACGCTGCACGAGGATGTCATCGAGAGTGTGGCGCGCCGCATATTCTGTAAACTCATCAAGACGTGGGCACCATCCCACGACGCTAGCCTGCTCGCCTTCGACCTCTGCAAAATGCCCGAGACCTTGGACTTCTACATCGACGACGAACTGCGCAACCGCGGCAACAGCATGCGGCCCCCGGATCGGCGCCTCGAGCTTTACAGCCAGCAGTGCGCCGCGTTGCATGGTCGATTGTGCGAATTCATAACCACCTCCGAGATGCTGCATCTCGTGCCAGAGTACTGCCCGAATGCCGACGTCACGTCCTCTACCGAAGCAGACATGGAAAAGATGTACCAGGGCCTCGCGCACTGGGAACAAGGAACCCTGTTCCAGAGTAGCTCGTGGGACATGGTGAGCACGCTGCACAAAGTTCTTCTCGTTGTGCTGATCCTCCTCGGCGTTCCGATGACAAAACAACAAGACTGATCACAGAGCTCAACAAAGAGGATGGACAATGTCGATACTGTTCATGTGGCCACCTTTGACAGACGGAGATGCCCCCAGAGTTGGACCAAGTCGTCTGGCTCAAGGATGACGAGATCATCCACACTTTAGACGTTGGATCCGCTGCCGGATTTCTTCTGCCAGCTTCCGCATGCGGTCGACAGCCGGACCTCTATGCACAACAACGTCTTCACGAATCATCCGCCGCCAAGTCAAGGATGTCTGACGCCAACGACTACGCGGGATACATGAGCGGCCTTCGTGCGGAGAGACTCGCGGTAGGAGAACGTTTGCAGTATGTTAGAGAATCGCCCCGAAAGGCCCAATGCTACTGCTTCGAAGATGATTACTGTTGGACGGCAACACCCTCTGAACATATCTCGCTCATATTCTTTTTCACACGCGTACATCGCGCTCGCCGTGGTCGGAGGATCAAGAGCACTTGAATGTTGCGCGCAAACTTGCATATTCTCTAAGACACGAGCCGCCATTCGCATCGAATAGATAGATAGCTTATACTGCGCAGAGTGGACGACGAGGTTTGAGGACCTTGGGTATGTCAAGGCAGACCATTAAGTATATCGATGAAGAGTTACCAACGACGCCCGGATTCATCTTGACCCATCAAAGTTAGGGTGAGCCTAGCAGATAGGAACTGCAAATGGCCATCAATATCGGTTCCAGCCATACGTAAGCCTGTCAACCATCTTGAATGCAGTAGCTGCAGCGAACGGATCCCAACAGGCACTATCTAGTAGTGCAACATATACGGCATCACTTGAATATTCACCACCATCTCCCGTTCTCAACTGCAATCCAAATCTACGAGCTCGATTAACACTTGTTCGCACAGCTCGTGGCAGATGTCACAGCAGCATCGACAACGTTGTGGCCTCTTGACCGAGTCGCAGCGAAGAGTAGTGATGGCGAAATCGATCGATCATACCGCAGATGCACGTTACGTGATGCCATAATTCTGCGAGAACTTGCCTGCTCTGACGTGAGCATCAACATATGCAATTTTGGTGTACACAAAGGGAAGTATTTGGTGATGTGATGGGATGAGGTGAGGTCGACTTGTCGGAGCGGAACAACGTGCGCGCCGCCGGCGCCAAAACTAGACAGAGGCAGCTCCACAACGCCGCCACATCAACAGCAAGACACGACATGGAGGACATGGGCGGAGCGGAGCGGGAGCGGGGAGCGGCGACTTGTCTGCGTCAATGGACTCGACGATGCCAAGACCACTGGCGACGGAAGCGGCCATGAGGCATCATCCTTTGTGTGACATGACTGAAAGGCCGCGCACCGACGACCAAACAACGATGCTCGTCACCAAACGCGGAACACGATCGCTGTCATCACCACCATCACGATCATTTTGGTATTGCCGTCGCCCCGAAACCCATCGTCGACGGCCATCACCATTCCTTCCATCAATCGCCGCATCCTCCTCCCTCACCTTCCCGATGCAGCTCGCCCGCGTGTTGCTGCACGCGGCCGCGATTCCACTACAGTACTTGGACCGGCCACAGTATACTGCGCATCCTCCGCGCGGGATTCATGGCTCGGTCTATCGGTGGTTCGTCGTGTCTTCTCCCCCGCATGCCCGAGTCCGAGCTGACCACATGCGCATGCAGGAAGCGAAGCGTGCATTTCCTCTTCGATGAGACGGAGGAATGGCTGCTGCGTGGCTCGACCTCCTTGTCACCACAGCAGCATCTTCAAGCCGATGCTCAACGGCAGTGGCGCATCGAGGTCGAGGCAGCCCACCTTTCTCCCGTACTCGAGCGGACCAAGGCGGGCACTTTTCTGCTGCTGTTCATCATCGCTCTGGTGCTGCTTCCCCTATCCTTTCGGCAAGAGCCTCAGCTCTCTTTACAATGGGAGCGCCCAGCGGTCCCTCCATTGCCCTTGTCCGGATCTCTTCGATCGCTATCTCGAGCTGCACCGTTATACTCGCTGCCATGGCTCGCTCGTGACGACAGCCCGGTACCGCGACCGCGCTCGCCACCGCGGGCCCTGTCGCCATGGACGCGTCGCGACCTACATCCGGTCTTCAAGCACATTGACCAAGGCGCCAAAAAGTTGGAACATCATCTGCAAGAGCTCCACGAGGTCCTGTGGAGTCCGAATTTCCTCTTCTTCGAGGCGACTGACTCGAACCAGATCGACTCGCTCATCACTCTCCTGAGCCAACCTCGACGTCGCCTTGCCTTTCCGCTGCAGCTGCATCACGACACGCCCAGCGGCGCCGAACAGGCTCTGCTGTCCACCGTGTTCGACAATGCTGCTGGCGCACTGAAGCTGTGGTCCAATACTACTCGCACAACGACTGGAACTACTCCGCGCATCGCAATCAAGGCCTGCTCAACTCTTATATCACAACTCGACCGACTCCTCGATCGCGCCGTATCCGTCGTAATTGAAGCCGCTGTCTCCCATCGTCGTGGGCCGCACGGTGAACAGTACGGTGACCAGTGCGCTCTCCACAGCGCATGGCTCGAGCATCTCGACTATCTCCATGCGATAGCCGATTGGGCACAATTGCAAGCCATGAACGTTTTCGTTGCAGAGCAACGCCACTCTGCCATGTCGTTCTTTGCAAGTCGGGTCTTGCGCAGTTTGCAAGCAGAAGAGGTCTCAGTCATGTCTTCACGAAGCGCTGCACGAACATTCTGTGAGCGCCTTCGCCTCCAACTCTACCGTGGAAAGCACAGTGATCTCGTCCGAGCAGCCGGGCGTGCGGGTCTTTTCGCTTCCAAGTTCTGGGCCAAGAAGGAAGAGATTACGCATCAGCAAGCCGCAGACATTCTCACACAGCAGTTTCGGGAAACAGCTACGCTACCACCCCCATACGATTGGATAATAGACTCGTTGTTCGCATACGATACTCTGGTGACCAAACATGGCGATACGTTGCCGACTTTCTACGAACCTCGAGGTGCAGACTGGTCGGACACCATTGCCTGCCCCCCATATCTCTCGGCGTATTCACTCAAGAAAGCGCGGCAGGAGTCTGACGAACTAAGAGATGCCGTTGGCGTCGATGGCCACGAAGACTTCGAGAATCAGCCGCCGCCGCAGGAGGAGGCGTGCACAGTTGCCCCCCTCTCGGCGCGCGGTTTTAGGTCCGATCAATCCTGGGATCGCTACAAGCCACAGGTGAATGGAGAACGATGTGTCGAAATGGACTCGAGCAGCAGCATTTCACGACCACCAGCACCACGACAGTTCGTGTCCCAGTCCCGACATCTCTTCTCTGGTGCCAGCAAGAGATGTCCTCCTCTATCATGGACAACGACCACGACAACACCGAGCTGCTTCATTGAAACCTGGTTCCTCGCTAACGCAGCAACAGCACACGATGAAAACAACATTTGGTGTCTCGACCTTCCACGCAGTTGGGAGGAAATCTTGGAAAGCGAGAGCGGGCAGGGCAACGAGCGCTCGCTTTGGACGGAGACTTCCACGGCACATGTGACGCTTCAGCCGAGAGAGAGGTATTTGATGGAACGGGGGGAAGAAGCTCTGAGAAAACGCGAGCGCGAGGAGAAGAGCAAGTAGATTCGTCCTCGGTATCAGTCGCAGCCGCAGCCGCAGCCACATGTTGCAAATGACCAACGGGTCTGATGTAGATTGAAGGAGCTTCTAGCCCTTTTTTTTCCGTGCTCAGATCCAACGTCACATTTGCTCACGGCCCCAGCGTTGGATGAGCAAACCCAAAGGCGAGAGGCCATGGCGGAAATGAGTGAGCTAGGGAAGCTGCATAAAACCAAACGCGATCGATGTGTGGTGTTATGCAGGCGGAGTCAAGCTCTTTCACATTCAACAAGGCGGCTATTGCGGGGGAGCTATAAATAACCAAGGGTACAGGCGGGCTCACCACACACACACAAACACACGAGGGATACAAGATTCTTTTTTTTCCACTACTTGTGACGAACGATTGGGCTTTTTTGCGTTTTGATCTCTCAAAATCGTGTCTTCTTCTTCTTCCGACTTTCATTCTCTTTGTCAAATGTGTGCCGTCCAGTTCCAGAAAGTATGACGTCTTCCACGTCTCGTATTTTTCATAGTTCCATCGTTATTTTTTTTTTCTCGTCGGGAAAAAAAAATGGCAAAAATCGTAGATGATGTCGACCCAGCCACAGCCGTACAGTTCCATTTCCTGATCGAATGGTCCGCCGGTAGTTGTGTCTCTCTCTCTCTTTCTCTCTCTCTTTCTCTCATATACTTACGCACACACAATATCAACGCCCACCATGACAATGGTGATTTCAAAGAAAAACCATGTGAAATGAATGAACCATATCGACGAGACCCAGACTTGGAACATTGTTCGGTCAAAAACTGTATATATGGCGGTTGGTATTGATCATGGATAAACAGCTCCATAGGGCGGGTGAAAGGTCGGGTGATAAGGGAGTCTTTAATCCTTCGAAAATACAAAAATCAGCTTATAAGTCGTGTTTTTCCCTTTCAAGTGGTATTGATGGAGACGCTTTGATCTGGCGAAGCCGAGCTTCTCGTAGATTTTCTTAGGGAGAGGAGGTTGTGGGTTCTCCGGTTTCGAGGGCGATCTTTGAAAGGGGGTTGAGATTTGTTAGCTTTGCGTGCGTCTTTTTGAGGTCACTCTTGGAGAAGAAGGGAGGTGAGGAGAGGGCATTTGCAATCTCTTCAATCATAGCTTTTCTTCTACAGAAGAGAGAGAGAGAGAGAGAGAGAGAAAGATGGGAAGGGCATGCATGGGCCGCCAACCATCATTCTTTCTGTGTCCGCTTTGTTCCTCCCTCTCCCCCGTGCGTGACCAAAGGCGGATCAACAATCTCCAACCACCTATCCATCCTCTCCTTCTGCAAAGTCATATCTCCCAGCGAGAGCCCCGAGGCTAAACGGAAGAAAGCCTGGCCTTGTATCCATACTTCGGGTCGCGTGGTCATGTCGTGCAGGACTTGATCCAGAGTCGTGGTGATGCGGGAGTTGACAAGACGGGCCCAGGTGAGTTCCCAGGCCGTGGAGTCTAGATTGAGGGTGATTGTGCCTGCGTCGTCATTGTCGGTTTTGACATGGGATGGCATGCGAGGACGGTCACCTTGGAAGAAGGCGGTGAGGTCGTCGATAAGAGGGTCAAAGTCGATGTAATCCGAGCATAAATCATCGAGTTGTGGTTTGTGACGTTCGAGATCGGCGAGGCTGCTCGTGGCGATTGAGGAGCAGTGCTGAGCGAGAGTTTCGAGCTTGTGTGCGCTGCTGAGCGTAGATCGTAGGAGATGGATGCGTTCGTCGATGGTGGGTCGAGAGAGGAAATATCTATAGGCGGAATGCACGGGCGTGCATGCCGCGATGAGGCGAGTCAGCGTGGTGTCGTCGGGCGTCTTCTGCTGTCGGCCACGCTTGTTGTATGTAATGGCAAGGCTGCGAGTGAGGTGGTGCAAGAACAGCTGCGGGGTATTGAGGGATATGATGTGCTGGTATTCATCGTCCCAAATGGAAACGAGCTGGGCACCGGCCTCGCGGAACTCGTGAAGTCGGTGGTCAATGGCATGGCTGAGGTTGAGCAAGCAACTGCTATACTTGGCAATGCCGGGAGCAATGGTGTAGCGATAGATGGAGGCCGCCTCCGGGTTGCGATATTCATTGCCCACATCTCCGCTGCACCACGCGGCAAAGGAGCAGTTGAAGGCCGATGGCGA